TTATATTATTCAGAGTGGAAGATGTGTTTGGCATTTACCACAAGAAAAAATATCCACAGTCTCTGGTCTGAAAGCCCAGAAGCATGTATTAAGACACACAGAAGATGGTAGAAGCAGAAAAAATAGAAAGCCAAGGAAAGAGGAGTTGTTCTTGGGAGAGTAGTAGCTTTGTAGGCTGTATAGTGGGTTTTGTTTCATAGGTTTCTTCATTTTCTTTAGTGCTTAACAGCTGGGATAAGGTAACTCCAGAGTGCAGATTAGTGATAGATGGTTAACGGAAAAAAAAAAAGGAAGGAAAAAAAAGAGAACCTGCCAAGAAGCTTCATCCAGCAGCACCTCCCTGGTGCTGTCAATTACAGAGACCTTTAATTTTAGTAGAAAGTCTAACTGAAAAGCTGTTTAGCATTCTCAAGCATTTTTTTGTTTGTTTTTTATTGCTTTTAAGATACACAAATTTGAAAAAAGCACCAGACTGCCAGAAAAATAAATGTTTCAGGCACCTGGAAAGGAATAAAACTCAAAAGAAGAGCATTCGCAGACTTTTGCTGTGCTTCATGTTTATGCTTCAGGTATGGTGTTTAAAGTGTCTTTAAGATCAGCGGAGAAAAATATCACTTATAATCTAAATCATGCTAATATCAGTGTCTGTGTTCACCCGTTGTAGAAATAAAAGCTTGAATGTACATTTACTTCAAAATATATATAGGAACATGGAGATGAACACTCAACATTCAAGGTCCTGCATCATGGGAGCCCAAGGTAACATACTGCTGTAGATCATAAAGCAAGTAAGATGGAAAACAGATTAAGGGATGTGAAACGTATTTCACCTTTCTTAAGTCTATTATCTAATAGTCCGGAAAACCTGGAGAGTGCATCAGACAGGAATAATTTGCAAACACCATAGAAGGCCCTTATCAAGCTTGGAGATTTGGAGGAACTTCAGAGGGACCAGCCAAAGGTGGAGACTAAGTTCATAGTGACTAGCCAAAAGGATCCAGAAGTGGAGGTTTGCAAGCTGAACTTTCTGGCATTTGACTCAACCTACAGAGGCAAGAGGAGACCATGAACTCCTGCTCCCTTGGCACAGAGTGCCGTGAGAAGAAGGCTTTTCAAACTAGGCTAACTTCACTGCTGTTTGACAGTAGGGAACTGTCTCCTGGCAAATCCATCAGAAGAAAACTACCTTGGCAAACACATTAGCAGGATATTTTTCTGGCAACGAAATGAGTTAAAGCTGGTACTGAATTCAGGAGCCTTAGAAGTGACACTCCTTCAAGGGTCTCCTCTATGGCATAACCCACAATGCATATACACTTTGCCACCAAAAACACACTATGAGGGGGTGTGAAGCTTTGCAAGTAATGAGTTTGCTGTCCAGCCACAGAGTCTAGGCTGCAGCTTTGAGTGACCATCTTACATTCATAGTCTGAGAAGGCAGTCTTTGGCTAAACAGAAATATTCTAGGTGTAAGCATAAGGCATAAAAATATAGAAGAGTCTTATAACACCTTCTCTCAGGCAATGCAGCGACTCAGAGATACAGAAAAATGCTTTTCTCCCTGACGTGCTGCAGCTATGTCTTGCTCTTCCCCTTTGTTACCAAAATTTCTGAGGTTAAGAAATTGATTTTTTTTTTCTTTAGAAAGTAGGAGAGAGTTAATTGGTGATTTAAGTCATGAAGAGTGGGAGCAGTATATTTATGGAGTAAAGCGGTCTTTGGCAGCTAAAACCAGAATGACTGGGTTATACTTCTTATGCACTAGGAGCAACTTGCACAAGCAGAGAGAGAACCAATATACTCTTTTTTCTCTCCCAAGGAAGGGCTGAACAGAAAGTGCCCTGCAATTTGCCCTCCTTCAGTGGGATTTCCATGGCTGCAACATGCACTTCAGAAACATGGCTCTCCACAGGGGACCCAGAGAAATGAGAGAGAACAACAGTATTGCAAAAAGTTGGCAAAAGGCTGCAGCTGAATTTAGAAACCAAGAAACAGTCAAGTAAGCCTTTTCTTCTGCTGTAAAATCAGAAATATATACATTATGTGGATTTCAAAGAACAAAGTCTAGTTACTTTTGCACTGACTTATACTGCTTTTTCGGATTTCCTACTGTTTTTAGCCAAAGAGGGTTTCAAAAGTATGAATGTCAAAATGTCAACCACATTGCTTCTTTCCACCTAAGTTGTAGCTCTTGTTTACATAAACAAAATGCAGCCAAGGGTTTGAAAGGCCTGTCAGGGTAACTGAATGGAGCATGAATCATTTTGCTGGGCACTGGTCTAAATGCTGTTTCCTCCTTCCTCCTCATTCTCGAAGGTCAGATAAACAGTACCAGGAATTGCATCTGAAGCTCTTACCTTCATGACAAAAAACAGGAATCTTTCTGTGGAGGCTTTGGATAACTGTAATCGTAAGCTGAAAGCAGAAAACTCACCTTGGAGCTAACCACAGATACACGCCTGCTTCTTATCAAGTGTCTTCCTCTTCCCCGCCTAATCTTTTAGCTTTTTTTTGGTGTTTGTATCCACATAAATTTTTACCATCAGGAGGTAGGAATTAATGTTCACATGACCTAAGGCAAACACCATTGATAGAAGACTGTGAAAACTTCCACAATACTTTCCACTTACTAATCACTGTCAAGCGTAGTGTCACGCACAGCCTGCTCTCCAGTAAGCAAATTCTATCTGTTGATCTCTGCATGGACATTTCTGCAACCCATGTCTTTAAGGACAATGAGATAAAAGAAGGATTCTGCCCCTCTTCAAAGCAGTCACTCTGTTAGAGCCTACTGAACGACAATTCTGCAGTGTCAGGGTACTCAAAAAACCAAGACTTGATGCAAAATGGCATCTGAATCTGTAAATTTAATTATTTTTCAAGAAATAGCTGCATCTAGTCTGCAGGCAACAGGCAGCTGTGGCACAAAGACATTTTTCACACTTCTCAGAGATTAACAAACAAAAAGAATCAGGCTCAAATATAAAAACACAGAAATCCTGGTAAATTCAACTGTCATGAACAGCAAGCTGCAAATTTAAAGAAGAGATATTTTTATCATGTGAGGTGGAAAGCAGTAAACGTAACCTGAAGAAAAGACAGAGATGCAACTCTGAGACACTTAAAGAGGGATCTGATAGTTGAAGGCAGAGCACTTTCCAGTTTCACAGAGAAAAGTAGGATGAGGTAAAATGGCTAGAAGATACTGCTAGACAAATTGGCCTCAAAAAATGAAATATTCTCCTAGCAGTGATGATAAATACTGGAATGTTTTCCAGGAGAAGTCATGCCCCGCCACTTGAAAACATGCGAAGGTACAGGGGTCTTTCATTTAGCTTCTGTGAGACCCATTACAGGTCACAACAGATGATTACAGAGCTCCCCTCTGGCCTGACTCTCCATGAATCTGTGAATTTTACAGCTTCATCCTGTGGGGCCAAGGCATTTTGGCTCAGAATCAGCAACGCACTTATACGCATGCTACAATGAAGGCTTGCTTCCTTTACTGGATCAGGGCCAGTGCAATCAACCTCTTGCAGGACAGGCCCAACGATCTTCAACCATCTGAGTTTGACGACTTTGGAGTTTCTTTGCTGCAGTGGCAATCAGAAGCTTACAACAGCAGGGACATGGAAATCTAAAACTTCAAAATCAGCAGGATACTTTTAATTCTTGCTTATCTTGCATCTACTTTGCTAAGGTAAAAGGGTATGAAAATGCTGGTTTAGAGTTTTTTATTATGGTTTCACTTGGAAATAATTTAATTCAGATGAGGAAAGACAAATCAAGGAAAGTTACTCTAGGAAGATGAGCAAATGAAAAATGATGCCTTTCTCCAAAGATAAATTTAATGTAATTACTCACCTGAAAAAAAGGATTAAATCAATACCTCATGGTTAGAAATACATGCATGCTGGAAGAACCTAACTTGAACCACTTTGACTGGAAAGGATGTGAGGCATTAGGTAGATTCAAACATATATACATACACACACAAACATGTATACATATATTTATATACACATATAGAAATATTCAAAATATAATTAATAAAAATTAATTGGAATACAGAGAAAGGATCCTGAAAAAGCCTTCAGTTCAAAAAAAAAGGGTGGGAGATGGAATTTTTACAAATTAGAGGCCATTTTGACAACAAACAATCCAAACCCCATCTGGCTTAATAGGAAATTATTTAATTAAATTATTAAAATTATTTAATTAATTAAAAACTTCTACCCTTCCTCCTTTAGCTCAGCAGGACATTCTTTGAAGCTGTCACTTACTTTCATGTTGTAAGAGTCGGTTAATTTCTGGTGGTCCAGATCTCTTGCCAAGAATAATTTCTTTCATGTATCCATAACAATTTATTATCTTTTTTCTTTCCCTAGTACCTTACATAATTCAAAAGAGTGTTCTGGTTGTTCAAAATACTGCTTATTTGTTGCTGCTATGGGGTGTTTTCCTTTTTTTTTTTAAAGTGAGTTGATAATTGGTAGGTTATCATGAGCTTGGTTTACCTACAGCAAGAAACATTTTGCCCTTTATTGAAATACAATGAGATATATCATGTATTTTCAAGGAAGGACAAAATTATGACCCAGGAAATTCTGAGTTAAGCACATTTCCAAGATTTTATAGTTGATTGAAGATGATAGAAATGAAAATAGATCTGCCTGAATTTATTTTTAAAAATGGAAAGAAATAAAATGTGCTTAAATTCACCTTTTAATAGTCAGAACAGCATATGTGTGAAGCAACTCTGTTTTATCCATTTAAGTGGGAGAAGCAGAAGTGAGATGGAAATACATCCAGCCTTTAACACCATGTCAGAGAAAGGCTTGAGAATGAGTGGGAAATGTCTACATTTCTGTCCATTTTCTTTCCAACATTAGAAAAGGTCTGTCTAGAAGATGTTTCCAGTACCCATTCAGAACAGCTTACACTCATCTCCATCCTATCTATAAATGAACTGTTGTTAAAAGACTGATTAATTTACAAACCTGTCAGATTTGGTCTCTTGAGGCGGTGAGAGAGTTGTCCCATAACGAGAAGTGGGTGTTGTAGGGGCACTGACACCAGGGTAAGGTCGTGGAGAAGAGTAGGAGCTGCTGCCATAGCTACTGTATCTGAAGAAATGGGAAGGAAAGTAGGAGAAAGGGAGAGAGAGAAAAAAATTCATCAGCCAGCAGGCATGAAACAGTAAATCCTCTTGTTTAGGGGGTGGCAGTGATCCTATACCCCAGAACTTCTCAAACATCCACCTTCTGAAAATATTGCTCTAATCCCAAATTCAAAATATGCAGCCTATCATATCATTTGAATATCAACCATGTCATGGACATACTTGATTCAGATAGTGAGCTACTGCTTTGGAAAACAATGAGAGATTAAAATGGTCTTTCCATGTGACAACTTAGAGCAGGAAGACTTAAATCACTGCTTAGTTACTCAAAATTATTAGCTGTTTTGGGAGCCAATACCCAGTCACTAGAAAAGGGATCAAACCAGTCCAAGTAAGAAGTATTCATGTCTAGTGAAATTAAGGCAAGCAGCAGCATTCCCAAGACATGGTCTGAACATGGACATCCATCATGTGCTAATATTTGCGTTATAGAAAATATCCACATTATTTTCAAGTAAAAAGCAGGTGGTATTTTCTTTCACTTCCCCCTACATAAATCGTAGCTTATGTACCACTTCTTACAACATCTGTAAAAAGCCATCATCATGGTTAAAAAGACACGTCTCTAGAAGCATGGCTTTGGAAAATTCTATCAGACATTTCCTAAAATCCAAGAACCTGTTTGACTCCATTGTGAGCTTGCTTATCGGAGAAATTTTTTCCAGGACTCCTGGAATGGCCACCTCCCTAGAATCCCTTGTATCAATGTTTTCATCCTGGCTCATGTACTGAATAGAAAAGGCAGTTGTGTTGCTCTGCTTTGCCTTTTAACCATCATACTTAAAAGAGCATGTCAAGGAGAGATTCCTGATTTAGGAAAACGTTAACGTTTCTGTTCAGGGGCTATACCATTTTCCCACGTGGAAAGCATATGATGCTCTGTAGGTGAGTACTTTGCAAGGCCAACTCATCCAAATGACAAAATTTACTTCAGGAAAAAGGGCAATATAATTTTCCTTATTATAATTCATAAGATATAATATACCCTCTTTCACTGTATCTTTTTTCTGCTGCTTCTTCTCCCATACATATCAGCACTCAGTAATTTCACTCAGCAATTTTATTTGAAAAGGCTGGTTGGTTTCCTTCAGCTCCATTTAGCACACTCATCTAGCCATGCAAAATTTCATTCAAAGTTTCAGCTTCATTCCTTAGGGTACAACAGCTTTTCTGCCTGCCAAGGCCCATGTTAAAATCAAGAATAGATTTCAGTTAGGGGTTTTTATAATGGAAGGGATCATGCTTTAGAGAACATGCCCCCTTTGGCAGTGATTCCAAGTTTGTGTTTTCGAAAACACCCCACCACTACCATCTATTTTTGAGACACCATACTGACTGTCCAGGAACAGGAGTAATTTTAGAAAAAAATGCTAACACGCAAATTTCTGAGCTACAAAAGGAATTTTTCAGAAAATAATTGTCTTCCTGGCATTCTTGCCCTAAAAGAAAACTGACTAGAAACTAGAGACAGTGGGCCAGTGGAAGGCTGTGTAGCTGGACAGTGTGAGACTTCCCTGGTAGCACGAGCTGGCATGGGTCTTCTCTCTGGCAGGCTCAGCTCAGATGTTCTGCCTGTGCCCGTATTGAGTGAGAGGTGAGAAACTCTGTTGTCCTGAAAACAACTCAGAGCTCATTCAGTATGCTCCTGACAGTAACAGAAACCTTCATTTCTGTTTCAATCAACTGAAAGGAGCCCTTCTTATCAACCATTACGTTTCCTTTTCTCCTGTTCTGCCCCATGAAAAAGCTGACACAGTGAAGAATCCTTTTTCAGACCAAGGAATTTCAATTAGACCAAAGGTAACTCATTAGAACAGAGAGAACACATCTGAATCCTTCTACTGACTCAGATCTACAAGAATTAACACAATCAAATTCAGAGGGACTGGCCTGGACACGGCATCCCTGTATATCAAATTTAGAGGGAGACAGATACTGGAAGAGTAGCAATACAAAACCAGCACACCAGGGTAAGTCTGTATCCTGTACACAATGTTTATCTTTCTAACCTTCCTCTACTAGTGGCTATTACTTCCATTTTTCCTTCCTGTCTTGTATACCAATGTAGATGCAGTGGCCTTCTCCCAGGACTGTTCACTGAAGAAACGCCAGACATTTACCTCTTTTATGAACATATTACTGCCCAAATCATGCAAGATTTGCCCTCTTTTTTCTCCATATAAACTCAGCACAATCCTCCCCCACACCATGCTCTTGATCCTGTGTGGTCACTAGAAGCACAAGGATGGTCAGAGGAAAAAAAAAAAAATCACTGTAATAGTAAATATTGCAGGAACAGGAGGTATCTAGGAATCTACTCTTTAAAAAGTGTAATTCTAACAGCAGCAGCAATAAGAAGGCAATAAATTAATGTGAGAGGCCTAAGGGAAAATTTTTGCACCTATGCAGGAAAACATAAATTTAGGCGAATCCCAGTATTCGAGCTCCAGGTAAGGAAAGATATGTAAACCAAGACCCCTCTCAATATCTACTTGGATTTACAGGATTTTCAGTGAAATGAAAAATCAACAAAACCCACCCACCTATTAGAAGAAAAAGATTGAAAACTAAGAGGATCAAAGGAATCAAAATATTTGTTCACATGCAGAAATTCAGAAGGACTGTTGGAGAAAGGAAGAAAAAAATACACTCACAATATGTGTACATTTTCAGAGCCTAATTCAGAGAACACTGACCACTGGGAGAAGCAGCTAAAAATCATCAAGCTCTTTTCAAGATTATTCTCTAGCATTATTTTTAGTGTTACCTATTGTCAATCTGTTTTACTTGAAAACAGGTTGAGACAAAACAATTTATTTTTGTTTTTAAATGGGTGGGACAGGCAAATTAAAAATTAAAATTAAAAAAGAGAAATACATGGGGAGCAACTGAACTGAGCATCAGTTTCATAGGGAAAACTCTATTCTAAGTGCTAAACTCTCTTTATAGGGTTTAATCTACTTCTCTTACTACAAGCACAAGTTGAAATGGCACATGACAGGGATATGCACTTAATCTAACAACAAATTCCGGATTTGGCAGTTCAGTCTTTGAAGCCAGGATTTCACCCCTGAATTCCAAACGTTGATCTGATGTCTCTTAGTTTTATAGCAGAAGAGCTCCATTAATTTTCATGAAATCATGTCTTCAAATTACATTGCTGTAAATGAGAGCAAAATGGTGCTCCTTTCTGTGATCTCCCAAATCACAGGTTTTTTATCTACAGCTGTATAGAGGAGGCCAGGTTATTTATTAAGTATAGACCTTGAAGAGGAGTATAGACAAAATGAAGGCAACAAAGGCAAGGGCAGAATATCAATCAAATCAAAATACAGGCTTGCAGGACTAAAACTAATACAGTGTGTTCTGGAAATAATACAACACACAGAGAGCATTATTATCACTATGAACCTCTTGAAAGGCATTACTCATTTATCTAAAAATTGTCAGCTATATAAAATCTACCTGTTTTCCCTCATCATTTCTGCTTCCTTTTCTTTCACAGATGCTGGAGACTCTTCAAAGTCATACGAGAAGAGGTGAAAAGGAGTATGCGGTACATAAGGTAATTTCTCCACTGTTGGAGATGCCTTTGGAGTAATGGATGCTGATGAATTTTGGGAAGAGCTTAGCAATGTTGCTGCAGGTGAAGATGGTGATGAAAGAACAGAATTATGATGAGAGACAGATGAGTCAGGCACAGAAGAGGAGCTGCTAGAAGAGCTCTTTGCTCTAGAGCAGGAGAGAGGCCTCTCAGCTGGAGAAATGGCACTGGAGATGGCTGAAGAATCAGAACACTGTGAAACGTTTTCATTCACAGCCTCCTGCACACCTGGGGCCTCACTGCAAGAGGAAAACATAATGAGAAGGGAAGGGAAGAAAAATGGGGAAAAGAGAGATCAGTAGATAGTACCTCTTGAAGGAAAAAAAAAAAAAGGAGAGTCAGACAAACAAAAACTTCCTAAATTTAAACAACCATCACTTTTTATTCTTTGTATCCCAAAGGGATTCTTCTTGGGGTTGGAAATACTGAGGAATGGAAGTGACTCAGCTTAAAGGAAAGGAAGGGATTTAACCCACAGGCTTCAGAACTAATTTTCATTAACCTTTTCACAAACATTTTCTGAACAGTTTTCAAGTATTTCAAATTAGGTTGTAAGCACTGTCAGAGCAGTACAAAGCAATCTCAACACACTGGATAACATGGTCCACAGATATAGATGCTTCAAGATACAATGTGCATGACTGCTTCTTGAAGGCCAGATATCTGATCCTCCCTAGTGATCTGATCTTTTTACTAAAAATGTTCATCCACCAAAGATGAAAACAAAACCCACTCAATCAGCAGTGTTTTGTCAAAATTAAGATTTAGAATAATTTCAAAACCAATGCCTTAGCAGATCATTTGTCTAGGTATGAAGACTAATTTCTCTGAGTGTCAGCATCCCATGTTGGTGTTAGAGACTTGTAGAGTTGCATCAAGTGCAACAGAAAACACATCTGCTCTGCTCTCGTGAAGGCAGGTGTTGGTGAGTGACAGAAGCAGCAAGGCAGGTGAAAAGCCACGGGATCTGTACTCCGGGATATCTGTTTTTTGCTAGTAGCTCCAGCACAAACGCTGTGGATGGGCTTTGGGCTGGATTACTCAGCAGGTGGCTGATTTCACTCTCCTAAAACCACCCCTGCAATCCACCTACAGGCATGCAAGGCATGGCCCTTATCTGAGGACTGTGGGTTTGGCACAGCATATGCAACAAAACCATAATATGTTACATATGATAGGATATTATGAAGGTAATCATCAGGTATATACCAGGTAATTGTTCTGCACAGCAGCAGCACAGTGGGCAATGTGGAAACCTTCATCTATTGCACCAGCTGTGCATGACAGGAGTCACTGAAGCTAGGCTAGTGCTACCTGTCCTGACAGCATCTAACACAAATGGCCGGGGTACAGATCATTTTTGATATGCTACAAGGACAGTGAAAGGAGGTATTTAGAAAAGCCATTGTAATATCACTCAGTTATCTCAAAAAGATTACCTAAAAGCACATCATGCCCTTTACACAGCTCTTCCTTGTTATTTTTATAATTTTAATGTTTTTTAGAATATTCATGTGCTATACTAATAACTTGTACCTTAGCTTTGACTTTTAAGAATTGGATTTGAGGAAATTATCACTTAATTTTGAAATTTCAGGCAGCCATTGGCAAGATTTGCAGACTAGAAGATATTAATAACAGTACAGTATTTTCTTTGGAATTCACATATTAAACAGTTTCCTTTCTTCCTTCTGTGCTGTACAGTGTCTGCATGAATGTGGTTTATTTAAAAAAAATCCAATCTCATTTGCTGAGTTGCAAAGCTAAGCAATTTAACCTAAATCAAATAGCTGTCTGGAAGAAAGAACATATTTTCTTTCTTCCAATTTATTAGGATAAAGTTGCCAGATGCCAAATCCATATATACCTCAGAAATAAGTGGAAAATTTTAACATGAGAATATTGTTTTTATAAGTGGTTTGTTTATATGCATATATACACAGATGGGCAGGTATGTAGAAAATTATATATATATATATATATATATCAGCTTTGCCTCAAAGTAGTTCTTTCCTATTAAAACATGAACAAAATTGATAGAAATCATAGGCAGCATTCAAAAAATGTCAATCTTCTTCATAGCAACAGATATTGCTAGTAAGGTTGTATCATTACAATAGGGATGAAAACATAAAAAGCAAGCAGTATCTTCAGCAAAGAGCTGCAACATTTCACCATTGCTTTAACTAAAAAGACAAATCTAAGTCATGCTTAGCAGTTATGCTTTTTGCTAAAGCTTTTAAGATTTGTGAGTGTTACTCATTTTGTACAAAGGGAGTGAGTGCAGACAGTTCTTAGTGCATTGAGCCTATGTAATAAAACATGTTTCCATTAACACACACACATTAACCAAGTTTTAAAGGCAAAATGATTTCCTTTTGGGGTGGCTTTAACAGGTGATCTAGGAATGTGAGTGAAAAGGTAGATGCTGCTGCACTCTGTGCTGGTGAATTCATGCCAGAGCCTGAGGAAAAGGTGGAGGGACGAAGTTGAATCCCGGTACCTGGCTTTGACCCTACTACTGGCCTCTTCCTCCCCCTCATCCTCAGTATTGGGCTCTGTGATTGGCTGTTCTTCTTCCTCCTCTTCACACTCTTCCTCCTCTCTGAGGTCAGACCAAGGAAAGAAGCATGCAGTGGGACGGAAAGAGAGAAGGTGGAAGAGAAAATGATGTGAGTGCCCAGAAAATGAAATGCAATGAAATTAGAAGTGGAAGGAAAACACTGATGGGGGGGCAAGTTACGGCCTCCCTGTGTTAGAGAAAAAGCCACCTAAAACTTCCCACTAAGTCTGTGTGGGTGTAAGGGTAGCTACCAATACAAAAATTATATCCTCTCCCGTATTTACATATTTTACTATTAATTTTTACGACCCCCAAAATGACACTGTTTTCTCTCAAGCTTGGTTTTCCATTTGCTGCTGCCCTACCTGCAGAGGCATTAATGGAAAACATTAATGACAATATCAATGTTCAACTTGTTAGTCATTAAGCTGTGTCTGTTTGGCTTAAAGGGCAGTACACGCTGTGCTGGCATGGGACAGCTAGCACTGGACATCACACTTTCTAAATTAACACAAATAAAACATTCCTGTTAAGCAACTGATAGCTCAACTGGAAAACAGAACAGGCTGAACCATTAAGTTAGAAATAACAGAGAGACAAATCAGTTCAGGACTACTTGCAAATAGCAATATTTAAGTTATTGGATGCTAGTACATGAATTATTTCAGTAAAGAGTCATTAGTATGCTCAAAGCAGGCTTTGATTCAGCAGTAATTCTGGCAGAGCAGAATTGTAAGTCACACATAAAGCCTCCATAACCTACAAACCATGTAAGTAAAAATGAAAACTATATTAAACAAAACAGAAAAGGCTACATTGTCTGCCTCCTGTCCCTCCCATTTACCCTTTTTGCTCCCCAAACTAATAGGCTCATGGAATATTTATAAAATATTCTCTTTGGACTTCTGCATTTACAGTTGATCTAGTTCTCCACTTGATTTAACAATGTATATACCATTAGGTTCTGCTCCATGCAAAAAACCCTCCTACCTGTACAAACAGTAATAAAGTTTGTAAGACACTCATACTCCTTGCATTTTCCTGAAAGCTATTTTTCTTTTCTCTGATTCTGAAAGGATGCTCTGTGCATTTTTTTCCATTTAGAATTAGTTCCCATGTCATAAGAATAATGAATATTTACAGTGTGAGATCATGAACTCATTGAGTGCAGCGCAAAGGGTCAATCCAAAATTTGTTGCATTTGTATGGAATTAGTTATAGTGTAATCAGGAAAATGGCAGCACCTGGAACTTTTCCAATACTCTGGGAAACATCTACAAGGTAAACACTTGTAACCATTCCTGAGGTATCATGGCGACATAAACATCTCAGTCATAATCTATCTGCCTGTCCTCTCCACAAACATGTAACTCTCCTACAGAAACACCTCTCAACTTCCACACATATATATATATTGGTATACCAAAAAAAGAAAAAAAGGAGTTGACCAGGGAGCATTTGTACCATTCCTTCTCCTTACAAGTGGGCAGTTCGAGACTAGCTTTGCTATTACATGAAAACACTCTAAGCCTATAAGTAATAGCCTTCATAATATTAGGATATATGACCAGTGCCTCACAAAAAAATAACTGCACCTTACCCTGGAAGGACTAGTTGTCTGCTAAAATAGCCGGAATACCAATCAACTTTAAAAATTACAATAGAAAGATCCATATAAGCTCAGTTTAACAGTTGAAAAATAAACCAGGAAATGGAACTGTGACATCTCAATTTCCAGAGCCATCAATGACATATTTTCCATAAACATCAGCATTTACTTAAAAGTATGATTAAAATATAAATAGCTCTTAAGAATATACATGATAGTTATGTTTAAAGGACCATAGCTTTTTACATACATGCTTCTTTCTGGTAAGCTGTACTGAAGGCTAAGTTATAAACCAGGAAATTATTTTAATATTTTAAGTCAGTTACTGGACTGAAAACCATTACTATGTAAAGACCAGATTGGAACCTGTCAGGTTTTGGTTTCGGTCTGCAGGTAGAGACACACTCCTGCCTACAACGAGAAACAGAACTTGGACCAGGAGGTGATATGATCTACATGGAGCCGAAGGGAATGATTAGACCCTGTCCTCCTTCATGATGAGTCATGAACTATTGGTGATGTCATATGAAGGAAATGCTTCTGTCTGCTGTGATGTTTACCTGTTAATCTGTTTTAGAAAGCAAAAGGTCAAGAGTCCGCTTCTCAGATGTTATGACTTGCTGTACTCTAAAGGAGCAGATCAGGAGTAACAGCCCCTTAATTTGTATATTATTTGAGAACATCATATTTTAAAAAAACCCCAAAAACATGCACGTACAGCAACCCTGTGTGGCACACTTGCTTTTACAGTTGACATTAACATATCCTCAATGCGTACTGTTTCCAAGATGAGTATTTTGTTGGAAGTTAATCTCTTATTGATTAATTGCACACATATCTGAACTGTGGATAATAACAAAGAAAACTGAATTAACTGGGTGGACTCTAAGAAGGGAGCATATGCAAATCATATATACACACCATCCGCTCAGAGCTCATGAAGTACATCAAGCATGTGTTACATGCCTATTAGAGCAACTGGCTTGGTGGACTGGCACTTCCAATTGCGGCTGCTAACAGCAGTGCCTGATCCACAAGAGCCAGCTGCTGAGATTTGAGATGGATAAAATCATGAAGATGAGTTTATTTACTCCTGACCCAAAAAGAGGACCTCTGTAATCACCAGAGTCGGCTTTTTGTTTATGATAGAGGCTGGAAGTAAACTGACATCTTTGCTTCCCTCCAGCTGTCTAGAAACAGTGAAGTGGCTCTGTGGGCCCATTGCCATACCTTAACTGGTGGATTAAATTCTAGAGATTCCAGCAAGATCATTCTTCTGTCAGACCAAGGACTCTTTCCTCAAATCTCATTGACTTCCAGATCAAAAGATTAGAAGAAGCTTTGATTGGAAAACTCTCTTCCTCTGCTAATATTAACTCTAGGAGGACAGCAAGTACATGGCCAATTGGTTAGAAAAACCAGAGGAAGGAGCTGGCTCTGCATGTGTTGGCTGCTGAGATGACTGGTGTGCACAGAGGCAGGCATGCTCCCCAACCTGGAGGAGCCAATCTGGCCAAGGGAAACTTGCACAATCGAAAAAAGTGTGTGCTTAGGGGAGATGCTCAACACTTGGAAAATCCTCTTTGGAATATACCCAGAAAATGGATCAGATGCAGATGAGACGAGAGGGGTAAACTCACAGGTCAGAATCAAACGTGCTCTTCTTTCAGCCAAACAGTAGTTTCAGTTGTTTCTCAATATTGTTAGAGAAAAGATATTCTGTCCATGCAAACAGGTAGTACCTGCTAGCTTAAACTTTCCTAAAAGGTAGAAAAGGAAAACTTCCACTTGAATATTTATTAAAATGGGAAAATGCCAACTACAGACAGATGACATTCTTGTAAGGCTAAGAACATCAGATGGCTGGATGCGCAAACACAACAGCAGACAGATTTGTGAATTCATCTGGACTCTCCAGACTTATGTGTCCATTTTTGTGTGCAATAGAGAAAGGATGATGTGGAAAAGCTCACTTCCCCTCCTACATCTCCCACATACACATGCAAATTTTGTGTTAATGCAATAGTAGAATTAAATCAAAGTAAGAAAAATGACTCATAGGGAGGTTTTCAATTAAACTTGGTTGCAAAAGCCAGTATGTTTTTCAGTAGCACAGAGGAGCCTATCCTGTTCAACAGAAGGTAAATATTTACCCTGTGGCAGTGAGAAAGGGCTTCAGCTAATGCTGAAGCATCAGATATATTCAACTAACCTTAGGGCTATTGCTGGTTTACTTCAGTTCCACGATAATAGTATCAGATTAGAAGTATTTAAACAAAAGCTTTATAGCAGTGAAAACAAATTTCAAAACATTTTTGTCTTTAAAATGGATTACCACCACAGGCTAACACCCTCACAAAACAAAAAAAACCCAAACCCCAAACCCCCAAAATCTTTATAAAGTATATCATTAGTCATGGCAACTAACAAGAATCTACTTAGGCACAGGTTTTGCTCAGTTGTTTCAACTAAAGTTTGACATGAAAATATTTATAGCCCCTTAAAATACGTGCATGTTAAAAAAGACTATGAAAGTATAGTTTATGGATAGAGAACCACTCGGCCATCTAAACAAAATCTAGGTAAAGGCATCAGAACAAATTCATTACCATTTCTCCTTTTTTAAATAAATAAATTTTTAAAAAATACAGTGTCAATTGTCCTGCTGATATTAAATAGCTACTCTAAGTTGCAGAGACACAAACACTAAAAAACATAGACTTATAGAAGGAAATGATAATCAAGGGACTCATCTACAGTTTAGATGAAGACAGGGGTAAAGTCCATAAGATGCTAAGTATCATACCTAAGACACACTTAACCTAGTCACAGATAGATGATTTTAAAACGAAGGCATCACTCTGAAGACAGCAACTCTCACTCCATAAGAACTCAAAGCACTAAAAAATGCTCTCCGTCTTACTGGCACCTAGAGCTGAACAACATGTACAAGGTTATGTAGTCTCCGAACTCTCCAGGCTCCCCCCAAACTCCTCCCTTTGCAGAGTCTTGATGAAGGCAGCTTGAAGAAACTCAGGCTTTCTTTGTTCTAGCCTGTAGCCCAGAAACACAAGTTTCTTCACTCCTCCACTCCAAAAAAAAACCCCAAAGATATAGCTAACAGAAAAATCAAAGGCTGTGCTGAAGGAACAAAAAAAACCAAAGCCAGTAAATAAGCATGAGCACAGAAACAAATTCTGCTCTGCTTGGTATCAAAGAAGATTTTTGAAGTCTAATATATGCTTCAAATCTTTTTAATTCAGGAAGAATTTGACCACTAATGTTTCAATATAGAACAATAGAAAAAAGGATGGTCTTGCCATAATTAGGATACCAACATTTTGGTCTGCACATAAAATTTAATTCATGAGATAACAGCACATTACAATATCTCCCTTTTGGTATATGACTCCAAGTTGTGCAGGGCTTATTT